GCCAGATAATTCTGGAGGTAAGGGGATAACTCTGCTGGGCACCCCTGGATGTAAGGTGAACTTATATTTTTTTATACAAATAAATTATATTTAAATAATAGTTGTTGTATATCAATGGATAAGTGTTCTCCATATTATTGCTAATCTCCTCTACCTTTCCATAGTGGGCTTTCATCTTGGTGTCGGGTGATCCCACAGTTATTATGTAACCAATGTTCTCTATTTGGTGCAAAAGTCTAAATGCTAAATATCGGTTTAATAATACAAAATGGACTTTTCTTCTCCCTGATAAAGTCATTCACAGCCCGGTATTTCAATAATGTGACAGGTTCTTCCAATGATAAATGAGGTTTAGAGCTGCAGCTAACGATTATTTTCAAAATCGATTAGTTAGCCGATTATTAGGTTCGATTAATCGGTTAATCGGATAAACAATAAAATACATTTAAAAAAATGGCTCCAGTGATGGACTACTAGTTTGTATTGAAATGGGACTCCATCACAGGAGCAAGCTTGGAGCTGTGGAAGTAAAAAAGAAAGAAAATAGTGTGGCGTGCAATATAGTGAAAAGGAAAGTGTAAAATGATAGAGCAATGAATGCAGAATGGCACCGGCTATAGAGGACTACAAATCCCAGCAATAGTATATTATACAGCACAATGCAGAATATCACCAGCTATAGAGAACTACAACAAATCCCAGCAATAGTACATTATAGCTGGCGGTATTCTGCATTGCGCTGTATCATGTACTGTTGCTGGGTTTTGTAGTCCTCTATAGCTGGCGGTATTCCGCATTGCGCTGTATAATATATTATTGCTGGGATTTGTAGTACTCTATACATCGCAGTGCAGAATATCACCAGCTATACAGGAATACAACGAATCCCAGCAATACATTATAGAGCACCATGTGTGGGAAAGTGCAGGCTTAGCTGAGCAGTCTTCCAGCAACTTGCTTCTGGGATTGGACCTGTCTATTGGTGGCTGTCATCCCCCCACACCTGCTCATCCTTACTACATCTCCCCGCGTCCCTGTGCCGATCGTGGATGTGGGCGGGCAGTGAGTGTAAGGCGGGGAGGAGGTGCGGTGTGAAGAGCGTGGATGCGGGCGGGTCTGGCAGCGATGAGCGTGAGGTGATGAGGAGGTGCAGCGCACAGCGTGTGTGGAGCCGTGAACAGGGCCAACTGATCGGAAGCCGATTAATCGATTATTGAAAAAGTTGACAACTTTTTCAATAATCGATTATCATCGATTATGTCGATCAGTTGTTGCAGCCCTAATGAGGTTCTTGGATAAGTGCAATATCAACTCAAGCCTTCATTCTTATTGTAGTCCATTTATTTCATGTTACTATTTTTACTTTACTAAGTTACTGTTTTTAAAGTGTTAAATAGGTTGTGATTTTTTTTCCATCATGCTTGTATAGCACTTTCCTCGTCTTGACTATTTGTTCTGCTCAATGTCTATATTAAATAACTGCGTCTACAGTCGTATGCATGACTTGAACTGAAAGCCCTGGCTTACCACTCCCTGTAGATTGTGTTGTATGACCTTTGACTGCTTGATGTCCAAAGGATATCACGGTTTTACCTGTTGCATTTCTATTTCTGGAGTAATTGGCTTATTTCTAAAATTTTATATGACTTTCTTTAGCCTAATGTTTAGACTAAAATATTTCCTTTTGTTTTGGATAGCATGAGTCAAATTTTGCAAGGGGTGAAAATTCCCTTTGCTAAAGAATACCCAATCCCATGCAATAAAAAACAAAACCCAGTATCTTGTTCGCACATGATTGGATGATGGAAGTCAGCAGAGCATAACCTCATTCACTAAGCTAAGAGCATAACCTCATTCACTAAAATTCCCTTGTAAAGTGAACAGCCTTTGGGAAGAAACACCAGAATCTCAGTTAAGTTTTGCTGACTTCCTTTTGGTCCTGTTGGCAAGAGGACAATTTCTTAAATGTGGACAGAAACGGTAATAAAAACCCATTTAATTAGTAGAGTGGGGAAAGTTTAGAACCTCTGTTATTGTTACAGTGTGTGTTATCTTGTCCTGGTGACACCCATTTCCCTAATTTTTGTCCTTGTGTCACTAGGATGGGATGTAACAGAGGATCTTCTCAATGGGGACACAGCAATTTAAACCTGACAGAAATTCTAACTCCCCCCACTGTATCCAAAACTTAAAAATAAGTTTTGGCAGGAGTTTGACTTTCACTATCCAGGTCTGAAGTTTAGTTTTTTTGTTTGTTTTTTACTTGTAATGGTGTATACGTCACCTCCTCCAGGCTGCTGCTGCGTGACAATATCATCCCTTTATGCTGCCAGATACATTCCAGAGCAACTATCTTCCAGTGTTCTGGGATTTCACATTCTGTGAATGAAGGAGGAGCAGATGAATGACCAGATCGGCCCCGCCCATTTACAGAGCGCAATTGTATCACACTGATAGTGGCTGGTGATAACAACCAGAGCACCAGAAAGTAATAACTCCGGGGTGTATCTTGCGGCATGAAGGGAGGATTTTGTCACGAAGCAGCAACCTGAAGGAGGTGGGATACACATCATAACAGGCTACTAATGTGATTTGGTGCTGTACCTCATAGAAACCCCGCCTCCCCCCCCCCACAAAACTAAACTTAAGCTTTAGATTAAAAATGGAAGATTGAATACCTGCATACCAAGTGCTTTGCAATCCTTTATTACCACTGCTTAGTTGGCTTCTGCCTGGAAAACATGTCTCTGCATGATATTCTTTCCTCAGGCTATGCAGAACCATAATTATCTTGCACACATGACTAGTCAATAATTTCTGTGCAGGTCTACACACCAGCTCTAAAAGCAAAAACAGAAAATATGGATGATTGGAAGAAATAAATAGCCATTGTAAAAGGCCATGACGTGGTAAAATATTACATTTATGTTACCGAAACATCTACCCATATTCATATAACATTTTCTTCTTCACAGAATCAACGAGCCAGCGTGTCCTCTACTTCAGTATGTTTTCAATGTTTTGCCTTGTCGCTCTTGCCACCTGGCAAGTCTTCTACCTCAGGAAGTTCTTCAAATCTAAGAAGCTCATAGAGTAATGTGTGGTGTTGGATGGAAAACTAAAGATGTGTCCAGTAACTAAGTAATCCAAGTGAATGTGCAGTTTACAATTTAATTTGTGCATTGTGGCACATATTTGACACTGTGTAAGGTCATAATCATGAGGGAAAAATGATGGGTGTAGGTACATAACTAGCTATGAAATATGGGGGGGGGAGACAAGATATCAGCCAGTCAATTGCTAGTTCTTGTATTTAGTACAATTTGAGACCTACAAGCAACGTTCTGGTTGCTGTGGGTAAAGCTCCCAGCACCGTCATTTCACTAATGTCCTTCACGGTATACTAAAATTTATTAAGCTTGCTGTGATGAGAGATTATTGGTAGTAGATTAATTGTGATGTTTTATAAAGAATAAACGTACCATTTTGAGATTTTTTTTAACTGTACATCCAAAGAGCCACTTCCTGCCATTAAATATTTTAGTGGAAGAGACAGTGCAGTCTGCAGCTAAAATAGTCTTTTGTCTTATGTACTTGATTAAACTGTCTTGTGGAATATATTTTTGATGCTAAAAAATAATTCTGCATTGGCAGGCTTATTTTTAATAAACCAAAGCCAAGAACTGCAATTAATGTACAAAATGCAGTAGCCTGTTACAGCTAGCCAGGTTTCAGTTGTTAGAAGTCAGATTGCTGAAAGATGTCATTTAATTTGTTCGCTATGTGTTTCTTCACTTTGCATATTGCTCGTTGCCTAATTAAATCCAATAATCTGTTACTTTCATTTGAACAGTTTCCTATTTGTCTTTTTGTTTTACTCTCAACAGAATACTATTTTACATTGTTACATAGAAATGTATATCTAGAAGACAAAGAGTGATTTACTGTCATTGCAGTTGTTTGAATTTGCTGTGGGCCACATTAGCTAACCCATTTGATTTATCATAAACAGGTTAATGTACCCACAAAGCAGAAGTTCATTCCTCATTGCTTGATCCCTTCTCAGGGCAGCCATATAACTACCCTATTTGACTATACATTTACATATCTAAAGCTGGCAGGTTTGGTTATTTAACAACCAGCTAAATACCCAGGTGTGATGACCTCATTCATTGACCGAAGAGGTCATGATGTGCTCAAATTCTTGGCCGTGCAATGTATAATGTTTAGCCAATTGTCTGCAGCCAAGCTCATTTTTTTCACCCAGTTCTACAAACATCCTTCATCTAATATTTGCTTTGAGTGTCATCTACCTTAAAATGTAGAATGTGAGTGATTACTGCATGCAAATTTTGCAATGACAGAAAATAACTCAGAAATTCTAGATGTTATTCTGGCAGTTTTTAATAAATTTTTTACTGGGAATTTTTATTAGTGTGTGTATGTTATTTCTTTCACATGTTTGTATATTCAATCACAAATAATTAAATACATTTACCATCAACATAAGGTTGAAAATCACTCCACTTACATAGCTATTCTGAATGGCATTGATTGCCACACTTGGCCCGCAGCAATAGATGTCCACAGTGTGAAAAAAAGCAGTTGTGAAGCCTCCAAAGCTGCTTCTAACTCCAAGCACCTCAGCTGCTTTTTCACAGTTGCCTTTTTTTGCCCAGTAGAACATCATAAAACTAAATGTGCAAAGTAATATATATCACAATTAGTCAAATAAACCATATCACAGCAGGCAGCAGTGCTACAATCTGAGGTCTATCGATGCCTTTGCTTGCATGCGCTGCACTGAGGTCAGGTAGATCTTGGACACACAGTCCCTGGTCTGCTGTTTACTGGCCACTGCCTGCTGGCTTTGACTACCCTGAACCTGGAAGTGCTCAGAGCTAAGTGATCCTGGGTTCATTGGTGCAGTCAAGATTTGGGGAAGGATGTTCCTTGCTCTTCCTCCATTCTTCCTCCTTAAGCCAGTTATGGAATTCCCTGGTTCCCACAGGGCACAGTTAAGCTTGGAATACAAATGTGGTTGGGGGAGGGGGGGGATTCTAGAGGAAGCACCACACCTTTACTGACTTTTGGAAGTGATCGGGTGGTTTTAGAACCGCCAGATTTGCTTCTAGCAGAAAGCCTGCAGCCGCTACCAGAATAGTAACGCTCAAAGTGAAAGTTTGCATTTTGCCTTATTCCCCTTTTGAACACTACATTGCAACACGTGCAGTTATTATTATACAGGATTTATATAGAGCCAACAGTTTGCACAGTGCTTTACAAAATGGAGGAAGACAGTACAGTTGCAATACAACAGGGTTAAGAGGGCCCTGCTCTTGAGAGCTTACAATTTAGTATGGGCGGCAAGTGATACAAAAGATGATAATTGTGTGGGATGAGTTAATGAAAGACAGTTATGTCAAGGTGAGATGGTCTTTGCCTAAAGGCGACAAAAGGGAACAGAGCGCCACCTCCGTGTGTAAAATCGTTTATTACAATAAATAAAACAAGGGATAAAAGTACTCACAAACAAACGTTTTCATCAGGCTTTAACAACAAATGAGAGGCCACACTGTCTGTTAACCCAACATGGTATATCCCCGACCATGTAACACGGTAGTCTCCGGTCACATCACCGTCCACCGACCGCAGTCAGCCAAGATTGACACGATCTACTGAGCCGACCTGTGACAGTCTCATTGTCACAGGTCGGCTAGAACTATGAAGTGAGTGGAAATCACTCGCCTCATAATTCTCCTTTAATTTAAGATTGTTTTAGAACAATAAAACATTTTATATTTCCTTTCACACAGCTGTAGTGAAACTACAAATCCGATCATACATCTGCCTCTGGGATCATTTAACCTATTCATGTTTTCTATCGCGATCGTGTGGGACCGCCCGGGCGGTATTGCAGCGGGAAACCGTGCGATCTGCCTGGCACGAATGGAGTGCCATTAGAAAATAATGGCACTGCCAGTGCGATCGGCTGTGGTGTGCAATTCTGTGACCGCCCAGCCATCAGATTACACCGAACACCCTGGCTTAAGGGGAGGGGTTGATCATTGTACTGTTGATTGTGATGGAGAAGTTGTTGGGTGAGGGGACACGGAGAGGAGAAAATATTAAAAGCTCAATTTTTGGACAGGTTGAAGTTGAGGAAGTGGTGTAACATCCATGTTGATATGTCAGTGAGTAGACTAGTGATGTGGGAGGAGACAGCAGGAGTAGACAGATAGATTTGGGTGTCATCAGCGTAGAGATGTTATTGGAAGCCGTGGGAGGTTATCAACTGACCCAAGGAAGATGTGTAGATAGAGAATAGAAGGGGCATTGGGGGACCCCCACAGAAAGAGTAAAAGAGGAGGAGATAGAGTTGTAGGTGACACTGCAGGTGTGCAGTTAAAAAATAATCTGTTTACGTAAATTGTTATTTACTTAACCACTTCACGCGGGTTCACTTAATGCACGTCCCCCAGTATGTGACCCAGTAAGTATTGAACCCAGACTCCTGCAATTAGTATTCTTACGGGCAGGTTCACAATGGAAGCATCAGTGTTTGTTATAGTACATGTTTCCTTTAGGTTTGACTGACACAATTTGATGTTGCTCTAAGATTGCTCTGCCAGGGGTAGAAAGGTCCTCTAATAATAGGCAGAGCTACTATTATTTTGAGACACCCCAAATAGTTTACAAATGAATGTGTGAGTAATTTCTCATCTTGTTATGCACTCATCTGATTAGTGGAGTATCAGTCTGAATAATCTGGAGCAAGCTTGCTGGTGAAGGGTGAAATGTCTGAATCTGGGTCCTGCTAAATTGTTGTAGGTGGCAACTCCCGTACTTCAGCTATTACAAATGTCTATTTTACAGGGCTGATATTTTAATTATGAGCATGGTGAAAAACTTTGGCTAAGGTTTTGGTTTATTATGGCCACCATTTCGATCCATGGCTCAGTGACTGACGAAGAAAGTTGAAAACATAGAACAAGGGGCTTATTATCTAAATGTTGCAGATATAATAGACTCCTCAGGATGTTGAAAGGGTTGTTGTGTTGCTGTATATCACTATTTATTGACAAGGCAGCAGGGAACTTTTGGTGTACCTGGCATTAAATATGTGGCTCACAGCCAGAAGCAAGCAGATGCTTTATAGTTCTGTTATAGTTCTCTTCATAAGCAGGGCCGACCTTAGGCCTTTAGGCGCCCTGTGCGAGAAAGATTTACAGTGCCCCTCAGTGACCACACCCCTCAGTGGCCACACCCTTCAGTGACCACTCCCCCAGTAACTACACCCATTTCCCCCAATATCCGCACCATTTAAAGACTCCTATTTTGTTAAGCCGCAAAGAAACATATTAAAAAGTATGATACAAATAAAACTTTTATTTAAAGGTATTAAACTTGTAGGCACAATATAAGTATTCTTATCAAATAAAACAACGGAAGGCAAACAATAAATGTCAAACTAAAATAGAGTCTATAAAAATAAAGTGTCAGGTTGTCATTACGATCCCTTTTTCCAAGTAAGTGCATCTAGAAAAGTAAAAATAGAAAACAGAACACAAAACCCAGACTACATGTAAAATTAATGAATTACTATATGTCCGAATATACGAAAAATGTATTCAGGCACATAATAATTTGTTTGAGAATGCGCAGCGGCCATGTTGGCCACCAGCGTGTTCTGTGAATGCGTGCCACCATCTTAGAAGTGGGGATCATGACGCCATGCATGCGTGGTGTCAGGTGACGTCACACGCCGATATTGGTCCCACCATCTTGGTGTATACCTAGATATACACCAAGATGGCGACGCCCAACACGTGCAGTGTTATATGATGTCATTCACCCTGCCTCCAGAACACACCAATGGCTGAATCCAAAATTGCATAAAAATATGTTTTGTTTGATGAAACGTTTTTAGTCTTCGTTCATTTCATCTGAAATGAATTTTTAGTCTTCGCACATGTCTAATAATATGTGTGTGTGGGGGGCAGTTTTCACTTTTTTAAAATAATTTTTTATACAGCAGGCAGCGCCCCCTCCTGCGCCCCCCCCCCCGCAGTTTCTAGTTGTCATTACGATCCCTTTTTCCAAGTAAGTGCATCTAGAAAAGTAAAAATAGAAAACAGAACACAAAACCCAGACTACATGTAAAATTAATGAATTACTATATGTCCGAATATACGAAAAATGTATTCAGGCACATAATAATTTGTTTGAGAATGCGCAGCGGCCATGTTGGCCACCAGCGTGTT